GCTGACAGACTGCAGTAAGAATGAGCCAACGAGAAGCAGTAGAAAGGCTGCAGAAAGAGTTAGGACCCCAGGGGAGGAGACACATGTGGTGAAGGGGTGGGACAGAAAGTGAGGACTAAACCAGACGACAGAACATTGTTAGAGAACAGGAAAAGATGTGAAATGAATTAGAAAACTTTAGAGAATTAAACTTTCTGCCGCTATCCAGATTCGAACCCGGGACCTATTGAATGAGGAGATGCGAACACGTTAACCTCTAGGCCACGATGGCCTCTTTCAGTTTTCGGTGTAGTGAATTAAATTCCCGTTTCAGTTTTTCTTTCCTTTCCTTTTTATGTCTTATAATGAGAGAACTGGATGTCCCCTATTCGAAAACAGACTTATTGTATTACATTCTAATATGTAACTGGAGTAAACCTTCTGAAATGGTGGTAGGAATAAGTTTTTAAAAAACCCAACTAAATAGACTTCAAAAGTAAGGGGAACCATTGTGCGAAACAGATTTGAATTATTTGCATTGATCTATATATTATTAATATTTTTTTTTTCGTATGCTCTTGTTAGTTCGACCCCCCCCCCCCCCCCCCCCCCCTAAAAAGCCCCATTCAAATGAGAGAAAAGAGAAAAATTCAGAAGAGGCACATTAGGCTAAAGGAAATAAATAGAAAGTTTAGGGTAATGTCTTCAAATATTTTTATAAATATAGGGCCTACAGATTTCATTCCTGTTTTTGTAGATTGATTGTATAGCATGTAGTGCTTGCTGTTGAGTGGGACATTGTGCTATACAAAAGCTATCAATTATTATTATAATTATTTGTTATAGCAATATAAGTATCTGTTAAATTATGATACAGATTTTATAATTACCTCTTTGCTGGAGCCTTTATCATTCTCTTCTATATACCTTCAGGTCTGGTGTTGTGCGGTCTCGGCTGACAACGAAATCGTGGTCTCTGGGTCACGTGACGGTACCATCCGTCTGTGGAGGCTGCGCAACGGACAGGAGATCTGTGCCTTCAACGCCGGCGTGGATGTCTTCTACATCACCATGAGCCACGACAAGGGCACCATTGTTGCCCTAGGAGACAAATATGGTGCCCGCAAACTCATCATGTTGCAGGTGGTCAGGTCAAAGGTCAAGAGACAGGTTCTGGCTTAAGTGGTGACCCTACTAGTTCCTGAGGGGTGATTTATGATCTTTACCCCTCACATTTTTGTTCAGACAGTAAAATCAAAATTTTGCAGCTTCAATTTCTTTCTTGCTCTTGAAATTAATGAGAGATATTGCCGATTCAGTTATATATCATTTAAAATCACAGTAAGGAGGTTATGAATTTAAGACAATTGTTTATTTTTAGAGGTTGTTGATTATCCTTTAAACATGAAAAGTTCGTTAAGACAAAAGAACTTTTGAAAACAGTCTGAACAACTACAATTCTAAGAGCAAATGTCTCTGGAAAATTTATCTTTACAGAAATGGTTGTTCTCCAGAAATGGTTGAGAAAATACTCTGAGACTTAAGTAAAAATGCATTTGCCAAAGCAATAGTTGTTGTCTTTTCCTTGTCATAGTCATATTAACTGCTACTTGTGTAGCCAATACTGGTCTCATATTAAAGCTGATATAAATGCCTTGTACCCACTTATATGCCTTAAACTTTGCAACTAAGTGCACACATCTGTAAGTCCTAAACTAAAATTGATGTCAATTTCCCTTTTCTGCAGAATCAGACTTCTATGTCCCTGAAGTTTTGATTGTACATTTCTGTCTCATTTGACATTGATTGAAAATAGTTTGAGCTGTGAGCGGGATTCCATGACATTTAGGCATTCAAAAATGCCATAGCTTTTTAGCATAATGAAATACGGAAATTTATACATCATTTGCTGTTGTTATCCACTGTGCATATAGGTTTTTTAAGTAGCTCCTAAAGAGCTAAGTGATATTTGAAAGTGAGTTTTATATTCCATAGAAGCCGTTACAACTCTACAAATTTTAGATTGATTTCCGTACAATACAAAAAGAATATTTTAAAAGAATATTAATTGTAGACTTTTGCAACAGTGGTTTTAATCTGACCTATTCCATTCTTCAGCATTTTGTTTTGTACTTTTATACAAGAATTGTAACGTTCGATTTATTCATACCTTGTTGCTTCACTACAAAAAAAAACCTGTTGTATTCTATCTGGTGAAGGCAATATGTTCTAATTTTATGAAGAGCAACGAAGTACAAATGGTCTATAGTCTTCAAGATTTTTCTTCAATGCAAGTAAAAAAAAAATCAAGTATGATTAATTTAATACTAGAAGACAGCTGTTTTTCATTGTCTCCTTTCTTTCTTTCAGCCTTTTGAGATTCAATAAGTGGTATTTTTTCTTACATTTTTATTTTGAGCGTGAGTAATACTCTATTTTACAGTACAACATGTTTCTTATGAGAGAAGATACATATTTCCTATGGTGCTACCAACTTTCTATACACTTGAGAAAATTATTGACGTTTTAATTCACTCTTTTTCCTTATAAAGTTGTCTGATGTGTTAGGTTTATATTTACACTTTTATATGAGCTACATTCGTGCCTCTGTGTGTAGACCTTCTCTCTGTGCTATACATTTTTCCGTGTGTTCTTTGGTCTGTATTGTGTAGAAATGTATTGAATTTACTCTTTATGGAGATTCCATAATTATGATTGGAAGATGAGATCTGAATTGTGAAATACAAAGTGGGTTTTTTTTTTTTTTTGTCTTTTACATTTTACAACATATAACGCATTGTTATGAACTTGAACTCTATGCAATAAAAACTCAAGGTAACTGAATTCCAGAGAAGAATCTCTTATAGCAAGTATGTCTCTGATTGATTTAACTGTATACTTAGACTAAACAACCAATAGATTTTAACATAATTTTTTTCATTAATATTTTGACCATGAAATGATATTACACTTTTGTTCTTTAGTTGAATTTAAGAAAAAATTTTTTTTCGCATTCTTAGAATAAATTTCATTGATGCTAGGTATAAGGTGTGTGTGTTTTTGTTTTTCTTGTTGTTTTTTTTTTGGCGTAATTTGTTATAATCAATTCTTGTAGTTGCAATGGTGAAGTGAAAGGCACTATGTCTATCTATAATTCTGCATGCCTTGGATGTCAGTCGTGAAAGGTTTTCCTTATTTAATGCTTCTCTCGGGTTGTGTACATGATTATAGCCAATAAATTATTAGCCTTTACCCAGGCCTCCTCCCTTTCTTATTGTAGACACGTCCTTGAGGTGAAGAATTCGATGCTTATATCAGCAAAGCACAGAATGTTCATACTTTAGAATGAACACTACTTAAAAGACCGCTGGGCTTTTGTATGTATTCTTTGTGTCATCTTCCCTGATTTGAAGTGCATTCGTCTTAGTATAATTATCAAAACCAAATAGTTATGTTGACTTGTTACAACAACAAAAGTCCCTTCTCTTCATAATGAGATCATAATGAACTCTCGTTTTACCTCTTCTGTGTCTCGTGTTTTCTGTGATCTAAGAAGGTGTGATAATAATTGATATAGTTCTCTTCATTTTGGATCGATTGTGCGAAATAGTTGCAAAAAAGCTAAAAATAGTCAACAAAGGACTGATTATTTAGCATAGAAAGGGAGGATGCCTGCCCTCCACTAGTTACTGCATTTATCAAATTGTGAGACCTTGGTCTATATGCTCGTGTATGAATAAAGTGCCTGATATTTCTTACATAAGACATTTTTCTGACTGGTTCTTGCCGTTTGTGTTGTCAGTGTTGTCTATGAGGTGGCTTGCGGAGACCAAGTAGAAGTCGCACAATTTTTAGATGGCGCACTACCAGAAAAAACATAAAATATTGACTTAATGGTTGAATTTATCCCTGGATAGTTTTTGCATGTAATAATGCCCCCAAAACATCCAAGAAAATGATTACCTCCTTTCAAAGTGCTTTTCCTCTGCTTTGCGGAGTTCTTAATCCACAAATTGAGGCATAGGTGTATTTAACATTGATGTAGGCATCGAAACCGTCTAAGACGACCACCCATTGTTGAGAAGAGATGTCTCTGTCTTAGACAGCTGACCATCTTACACAACATCATTGTAATGTAAACAGTACGAAAAGGAGGAAGTGGGAAGTGGCCATTTTGCTACTTCAGTCGAATTACAAAGTTCTATCTGACATTCTTGGCTGTTGTGAGTTATTAAGACCATGAAGTCAGAATCCAATTAATGTTCCATCTGCTCTATCAAAATCGTAAGATTGTTCGGAGTCGTTATCAAGATATTCAAAGAATTGCATTCGAAAAAGCATGACATGATGTGAAACTCGAAATGTTTGTCGCCAAATTTCTCAAAACTGGGTACTGAGCAGATATAGAACTTTTGTATTTCTGAGGTAGCAATTTGTTTAGGTGATTGTCTTATAAAGGTGGCCATTAGAGTGTTTTCTGCAATGCTACCACACATTTATTATTCGACTCTTTGAATATTCAAGTGGACAGTCCTTTAGAGATAAAATACCCCCCCCCCCTCCCGAGAGGCTTTTTTAAATTTTAAAGTGGCTTTGAACCTTCTGATTTGTGTTTCAACTTAGACGTACTGCCCAAAAACACTAGCAAAGGGAAGAATCAGACACCGAATGCATTTACAGGATTGAAAATTGTTCCTTTTGAAATTTATAGGCTATATTTATCACTCAACTGACGAATCAAAAGACAGAAAAAGCACATTCTGAGATCATTTATCAACAACAATAATAAAACACACACAAACACACGCACACCCACACTCACATGCACACACAAACACACACACACACACACAAACACACACACACACACACACACACAGACGCACACACACACACACACAAACACACACAACTCCCACACCTTTGATGTCCCATTGACACTTTTACTTTAAGCTTTGCAATTACATGTCGTATTGTCGGTGTTTCTTCAAACCATTCGCACTTATTAACACTCCAACAACCCTTCCCATTTAATAAACAGGTGCGTCCTGTTGCATCTTAAAAAACAAAATATCTGCCAGGTAATCTACCAGAAGGCCGAAGGAGGGTCTTCTTTCTTTTATCAATCAATACGTCATGTTGGGCCTATGTGTGGGAGTGCAATTCCGTCGCAGCTGTACCATGGTCGCACTTGTTACACGCGTCTGGTGAACAGGTTTGTTTTCCGTACTGTAATGGGTCTACGTGTGTTTTGTTCCGGTTTTACGACCAACTCTCTCTAAGACAGAGCCGGTGTGTGTGTGTGTGTGTGTGTGTGTGTGTGTGTGTGTGTGTGTGTGTGTGTGTGTGTGTGTGAGAGAGAGAGAGAGAGAGAGAGAGAGAGAGAAAGTCGTCCAGCGGGTATGGAACCTTCAAGAGTTTACATGTGAGCATTTCAAAGAAGGCTTGTGAAATTTTTATATAAAAGAACATTAGGCCGGCGGTCTTTGTTAATGGTGTCGAATTTGGGTGGTTGGAGGGCGCCACAAGCAGGTCCTACTTCTTTTCTTTCACTATGTTATTTCTGTTTGTCTGTTTTATGTTTTCCCTGCACTAATGACCATTAATTGTGCCAGTTATTATGAGAAATTATAATAATAATATAATTATATAATAATATCCCAATTGAATTGGGCTGCAGAGCGACGATAGAAAACTGCATACCCCTCGACACTTAACGACAACAGAGGTTGAAAAAGTCAAAGTTAAGTTTTGTGCAAATGTGTTTCTCTTTACACTACATGTACAACATTGGTGTTGAAAATAATAGCAGCGTCACCCTTCCTATTGTTATGATTAAGTAAATTATAGGTTTTAGTTTTTTTAATGGAACAAAGCTGGGAGTTTGGACAAGATAATAACAAACCCCATGTCACTTTTTGCTTCTATTACCCTAAACAAACACACACACACCCTCCCCCCCAAAAAAAAAAAAAAAAATTAAATTAAAAAGAAATAAAATTACAAAAAAAATAATTTATTTAAAAATTCAATTTTATGGGCGGTTTCTCTTATGCTAGAGTTGTTACAGTTTCTGTTTCTGTTTTTTGTTGTTGTTATTGCTGTTGTTTGGCGAAAAAGAAGAAAAGACCCACTTTTAAGTTATGTGTGTCAAAGGCTCATATAGTTGTTGACCACGATATGTTTTTGTTATCCTCCGTTGCTCCTGTTGGCAGAACACTGGTGATAAAAATGAAAAAAAAAATTAACTTATATATAGGTCA